AGGGCAAAGCAGAAGGAAGTGCAATGAGTCAAAAAAGGCTCTCCCCTCCTCCTTCCAGCCCAGGATTCCTTAGCCAAAGAATGATCATCACTGCACAACTTGTAAAAATGTCTCTTGTGATTAGGAGGGAGCATGCAAGAGATGGAACTTTTATATTTTCCTCAGATTTGCCTTTCTCAAGTGCTTAAGGTATGTCCTACCTCTTTTCTCTCCAGAAAGCCATTTGAACTGTTTGTCAGTGGCTTCTTCACAGAGCTGAGGGTTTCAGCAATAAATAGTTCGAGGACATTTTGAGGCTCTGAGATCTGAAGCCTCACCCTCTGCAGCTGAGACTCAGCATGCTCCTCCCTAACACTTTGTGGGATGAAATCAGAAAGCTATTTTGAGAAATCAGATTTCTCAAAAATGAGAAAAAAGAAAACCTCAAACTTCAATGCTACTAAGTAGTCACTGTCATATTTAAAGGCATATTTCTGTCTGTTTGGGATAGAAAAACTGCAGATGTCTCTGCACAAAAATGAGGCAATGAAGAGTTGGATAATTCTCTGCCAGCTCTATTGCAATAGTTTTGTGAATAACTTTTTTACTTTATATCTGGGGTTCAAGAGCAGCTTTTCATCTGCATTACTGCAGAGTACAGTCTGTAATCTTTTTTTCAGTCTCAAATAAAAAATAGAAATTGGAAAACAAAAAGGAGGTGAGCACTACTTCAGTGACCCACTTACTTTTTAGTAAACTTATTTTATTAGAACTTGTGTGATTCATGCTGCACAGTTTTGTTTGAGTATTGCTTAGGTTAATTCACACTAGAAGGATGCAAAACTGCTCTTCTGAAACCAGTTAAGGAATTCATTTTAATTGCCAGTACCAAAGGGGCACTTAGGTGTCTACTCATATGTAACCTATTGGAAAGAAGAGTATCCAAACTATCTGATGAATTTAAACCATACTAAATTCTTCCTTTATATAAATTGATCTCTAATTATCTGAATATTGGTTTAGATTTTAAAAGAAGTCATAACAAAGGTGGAAGGAACAAATCCTGAGAAAACCTAATCAAGGAAACACCTTTAATATTAAAACAGATATTTCCCAGTGTTTTTGTAAAATAGGGTTCACAGCCTATTTTAGTTCTAATCCTATTTAAAGACATATTGGAGTAAATCAGTGAGTTAGTTGCCCCACCAGATCAAGCAATCATATCCAGAAACTCTGTGGGCACTGAAATGAAGTTTGGAAACTTTTTGTTTAGCCTTTGTTTATTTGCTTGTACCCACTGATGAACACTAGTGAAGTAGATCACAGGTAAAGCAGATGCATGTGTTGCTGCAGGAGAACACTGCTCTGTGTAAGATTATGTTCCTGCACCTAAAAGAAGGTTATTGAAGTCTTTGAATTCACTCCAGCTCTTATTAAAATCGTGGTAGAGTCCCTCTGGCTGGCACAGTGGAAACTGTACAGGCTCCTTATGCTCTAGTGCAGCAGGCTGAATCCATGATAGAGCAGTAAATACCATTTGTCATTACTTTTTTTCTCATTAGACTTCCCTCCCACTTTAAGAGTAAAAAAATGCAAGGTGGGGAGGGTGTGAAGGACTTGTGAGTTGTGCTGCTTTCTACTGGAGGCACTTCTATAAAGTGCTCTTTCTTAACATCACTGAAAATAAAGATTCTCCAGTTGAAAATTACTGTAATAATGGAAAGCTTCCTTCTGCCGTGGTTGTGTGGTATATTATTCACCCTCTACTCTCTTGACTCTTTAAATAGCTTTTATTAGTATAATCTAACCTCTTTATCTTGCTTCCCACGTACAGGAAAACAAATCTCATAGATAACTGTTTTCATATGCATTTATTAGATACTGTGAGTTTTATTACTGCATTTCACTCTAAGCCTTAAAAAATGTAAACAGGCATTGCCATCCTAGAAAAGCTGCTGCAAACTTCCTTAATAGTGCCCTACCTCCAAAACAGCTCACTGAGCAAAATTATTGTAATTCAGATGGTAGATATAGTAAAGTATTTAACCTGCAGTTAATTTATTAAGGCCTTTCATGAGGATCTAGCCTCAGAAATAATAAGGCTTAAGACTTCTGTATGCTTACTAGATAGAAGTTTAGCCCCACCAAGTCAGACAGTGTGATGTGCTTTGAGTAGCAATTGCATTTAAAACCTTTCACACAACAGCAGTTAGGCACCTAATCTGATTTGTCTGGAAGAGCACCACTTTTCTCCATTTACATCTGAAATTATGGTCAGCGCTGCCAGTACAAAGGGAACCTTCATCAAAAGTGACTTCTTTCATTCCCACAAAATAGATACAATGCTCTACATTTCACAGATTAATCTTCAACTTGCCTGAACTCTCTCTCTTTCATGAATAGCTCACACATGAGCTGGGAACACTCATTTCTCTGGAATTTATTTGGAAATCACAGCTCATGATCACAACAGTGGCTAATGCTTTTATGCTTCTTGTTTCCATAGGTTACTTTTTAAATATCACTGCTGTTCATTAGGCTGTATATAATTAACACCCCTTCTCTTCAGCAATTAACTATTTTATCAGATAATAGACATTAATGTACAGGACCACCAGACACTGAAAAATGAGGCTTACTTCAACAGAAGCATGTAATTCTGCACTAACTATTGTGATAGTCTTTCTCACTAGAAAGAAAATGAGGCAGATTTTGCTTTCAGTAACACTACTGTAAGTGCATAATGCTGGCACATCCACAGCGTGGTTCTTACAGATTTACACAGTCATAGCTGGACTATGTTACTCTAGTAGAACAGAATTCTTGTCCCTGTGTGGGTCAGAACAGCTGCCCTCAGCCATATGGCTGACTGCAACCTTCAGGATAGAATCTCTCACCTCTGATCTGAGACACAAGTTTTTAATATATTTTTTTTTAACATGGGACATTGTTTCTAAATAATGCTTTTTTTCTAAAAAAAGTTCCACGTTTTCTACCTCAACTAATGGGAAGTGACAGAGAAACAGGAATGCTTCTTGTAATCAGAAATCTGACTCCAGGCATACAAGCTGAACTCATTGTCAGTTCACTACTAAAGTATGGAATTGTGAGAAAGCCCTTTATTGGGGCAAATCAGTGTTAAAATGATGTATGGTGAAATTCTGTTTGCCATTATGTAGCTTATCAATAAAAATATTATGTGTTTCCACAAGGATTTTTTTTTTCTTTTCTCTTTTTGACATTTAAAGTTCCTTTGAAATATAAAGATGAAGCCAGTCTTCTACTCTGGAAATAATTTACAAAGCAAATCCTTGAGTACTGTCACATGATGAAGAATCAGTGCAGATTTTCATTTTTATAATTTTCATACAGCTCTTTGCAAGATATCACTAAGAAAGGAACTGAAATTTTGGGTCACAATGAAAGTTGAAGAGCAAGAATGTTGCAATGCAGTTTATTAAAATCTGCTTATTTCAGCAACAGCTTTTCACTGGTAGGTATGACTGTCCTGTGCAAATCCCTAGTCAGGAGTTTCAGTGGCAGCTTGCCTATGCAAACCCAACTGATTATAATCATTGCTTCCCTCCTCTGCTGTAGAAATTTGCACTGTGACACACAATACCAGATGCTGGACACTGGCTACTATAATAAAAGTTAATTTGCAGGATGGTATGGACTGTATTAATTTTCAATGTGGCAAAACACTAACAGTTGGCCAACCTTGGGCCAACTGTTGTTTCATCAGCAAACTGAAAGAAGAAGTAAGAATTGAATTATATAAAGGGCTTTAGATGACAAGTGTTTAGATTAGCCAAAGTCACAGTAGGCTGAAGGGATGTTAAAGTAACCTAAGAACACAAAGCAGAGCAGCACAGAGACTGCTGAATTTTTTGTGGCTTAAAGAAGACAAAGGTAAAGGCATTTACCTGGAAATATGGTACAATTTATGTAACAGCTTCTAAAAGGAACTGAAAAAAAATCTTCCAATAATATTTCCTTTCCCTGCCCCACCTCCTCCAGAATACTCTACAGCCTGCTCACTATAAAACCCTGTGAAAATCATGGTTTATCTTAAATTTCTATATTATACCAGGCAGATAAGGGATTAAAACCCAAGCCTGTGATATTTCACTATGTACTTTAACAGCAAGCCCTTAGGTTTTAAATGATGTTTTTATGCAAGTGAAGAAAGTGCCCATGGAGCAGCTGCAGTACACAGGGTGCTGCAGTGGTCCCTGCAGCACTCTGGTCCATCAAGACAGTTCTCACTGAGCCCCTGAGCTGGCATGAACAGATGAGTGGCAAACTCTTGAATCCTTTCCAGGACAGAAGCAGGGTACTGCATTACTCAAGGCACGCAATTCTGGATCAAAAACAAGAGTGGAGCTGCTCTCGGATTTGGGGCTCCCTTTAAATTCTAGGCCCACTTTTGTATCCCATCCAAATAAACTCCTATGAAAGTCAAAGACACAAAGAGATAAGGAGCAATAGTAATTTCTCAAGCATGATTCCAAAGATTATATATATTATATACCCCATGATGTTGCTGTTCAAAGATAGCCATTCTTTACAGTTATAATTTGTGTCTAAATTGAACTTCGACTTCCTAAACAGGCTTCTGTTTTTATAAGCCATGGTCAGAATGTGAAACGAACACAGCCCTAAATGTTACTGTTAGGTATGAAGATATTCAGAGGACATTCTGGGCTGCTGCTCTAAACAGCACAGCCAAAGTTCACAACAAACAGGAAGGGATATGGGCAATGTCCACAGGTATTGTGCCCTGGCTCCCCCAGGGAGTTTATACTAGTCCCTTTCTGTTGGAAGGCTGGCTACCAAGATGTTTGGCATGGGACAAGAACTCAAAACTGTGTCACTAGTTACCTGCAATTGTCTGCCACAGTATCCTCATTCATCTGCACTGAGCAAGAGTGAAAAAATGAATTTAATAAATGAATTTTATTAAAATAAAAAGGGGTTTTGAGACCAAGAACCAGAAATGGAGTGATAGAAAGACAATGGCAAGCACACAACTGCTTTAATCGAAAATATGGCAATGAGAGAAACATCAGTAAGAAAATAAGATCTTGACTAGTTTGCCCATCATGTTCCCTCTCCAGAATAGGTTTAAAGCACACATCTGAATTATTCTAACTGAAAGCCAGTGTAATTTCAAACAAATAGCTTGTCACCCACACAAAAGCTATTCAGATAGTGCAACATCAAACAGGAGACCCAGCAGCAGACAATAAGCTAAACTAAGCACCCCTTTGAGAGCAGCTCTTTCAAGAAAGCCAGCTGAGCTACAAAACTGCTGGGGATGATTAACATCAATGCAATTTATTGGCTTTCTTCAAATAAAGACTTCAGTGTAAGGAAATAATTGAAGAGACAACTAAACTCTGTTAGAGTCATAATTAAGAAATTACAGGTTCCAGTACACATATTGGTCTATACAACTCATTCAGGATAATGACAGAACAAGCTTTTTTTTTTCCCCCAAAAAACATTTTATTAACATTACTTATGAATTTATATTTAGAAAATATTGTAGGTGAAATTAATTGAAACTCAGACATAACTAAAATACAAAATATAAAAGAATGTGCAAAAGTATCATCATAGGCATAACCTACCATAAGAAACATAAAAGTGCCTCAAAAGAGAGATTACTCTTTTGTAGATGAAATTTGCAGAAACTTCTGGTGCTCTGCTTCAACAGCCACTGCATTATCACAAATATCAAAATCTTCTGCAGATGTAATCAGCATAGTTCCATTAAAATCAGTAAAACTATGTTGATTAATGCCATGAGGATCTGGAGTAACTTCGCAAAAATTTCAAATGTCATGAAAAAGTAATGGCTACATTTTTTATTTTAATACTCAACTAACTTATTCATTGCCTTTGTCAGAGTGTTTATCAAGGCATCCCTATTCCAAATTCTCTTCTGTGGGATGAGCTGCATTTAAATTTATACTTCTTTCACTCTTATGAAGGCTTTTGAAAGCTTTCACTATGAACATTAACTGTAAATGACAATCTATTTAAACAATAGGGCCAAAGTATGTACATGGCAAGGCAATAAACCTCTGAACACACTTGTGAAAAGTCAATTTTCTTTAGCAAGCAGAGGATGCAAAAAAAAAATTAAAAATCCAAGGTAGATTTTCAGTGCTGGACACTCCTTAGTTATAATAACAGACATTTAATTTTTCAAATTTTAATTGATTTTCAGCAGCTGAAATTTTCTCCCAAGGCAGTAGTAACATTCACCCCATAAAAACATGGAAATTTAAACAAGTCTTTCCAAAATATTATTGCAAAGACAACACAGTAGAAGAACCAAACTTAAGTTCATTCATCTATTAAGTACAGTTCCTTATAAAAAAGTAAATTGCATAAAAAGCAGCTCTGAAAGACAGAACTATGTCAGTATAAAACTTCGTGAAAAATATCTTACAAAAGAAGAAAGTGGAATCGACAAAAATTGTTTCAAACATCCAAGTACACGTCAGCTTTAAGACTTCAGGTTATACATCTGAGATTTTTTCTTCAGTTTTCTTACTATTTTTCTGCGGAATACATTTGTTGGCTTGTTGATACTCGGTTTCTGATTTCCTGCTAACAAAACAAAGGAAGCAGTTAGGGAAACTGAATGAAAAAACTGTTACTACTTGTTATTGTTTGAGTTTTGTTCATGTTACACTGTTCACTGTCCAATAATAACAAACATACCAGAAACTGTAACATGTGTTCCCATGCATTCCCTATTGTCACACTGTAAGGTCACCAGTGTGTTCACGTTTGGCACTGGAATCCTACTTTGCTGCTCTTCTCCTGAGCATCAAGGCCTTATCTAAGTGTCCTGCAGTTATAGCAGAAATACACTGCCCTCTATTAAAAACAAACAAACAAACCCAACAACCAAATTTAAAAAAAAAAAAAACACATACAGAAACAAAAAACCTCAACCTATTCTTACATTTCTCTGAACAGTGAGGCAAAGGTTAAAATGCAGCCAGTGCAGATGTAAAGATAAAATTATTTGAGTTTCTGCACAAAACTCACAGAAGCTGCAAAGTGGCCTAAGACAGTCAGAGCTAACGCCAGACGTGCTTTCAAAGGCTGCGTGAATTGTGTGAGAGCAATTCAGAAAACAAGTCTTCTGCAATCTTGACTGAAAATCTTTGTTTTTATGCTACCTATTTACCAGCACACAAAGCCACTGGGGCCAGTTCCCAATTCTTTTGCTGTAACCCCAATGCATTTGCTTTCTTTTCCAATATAAACCTTTTCCAATATAAATTCTTTATATAAAGAATATAAATATTCTTTTAAAGATTAAATTAATCACAAACCTTTACACTCAAAACACATTTAGATCAGTTTAACAAACAGCTGTATATTTGCAGAGGGAAGGTGAACTGAATTCAGCTTGAGACTCCAAGAGGTAACATGAAAGCTGCTGAGGGGGAAATAATGGAAGCAGGAGAGGAGGAGTGGTTTAAGGTGCCTGAATTATTTGCTTAATGTTGCTGTGCACTCCCAAGCTATAGAAATGAATATGCATAGCACAACATTAATCAGCACTAATTATGCCCTTAACTTTGGTCTCCAGCTGTACCAAGCCTTACTGAACTGTGAAATCCCCAAGTTCATTAAAAAGCTTGTAGCTGATACTTCACATGTGGCTATCCGGTGCTCTAGTTACAAGACAGACAGCATCTCCTTACCTCTTTCTTCCACACATACAAAAACAAACAAAAAAAAAATTAGTGAGGAAGAGAGAACCCCCAGGTGAATCTGGCTGGGTGTGGGCAGGGGCAGTGTGGAGGTGAGACGCTGAAGAAGCAGTTTCTGTCCTCCTCTCCCTGCACACTCCACACTGGAGCCTGGCCCAACCACTTCACAGGAAGTAATGGATGGAAATTAGATAATCACAAGCATCTCAGATAAACTTAACATACCATTACAGACTCCCTTGTAATAGGATGACAGACACACTCAGACTTGTCATCCACAGAAATATTACTGTCATGACTAACTGGCAGGCAGTATTTTTATTTCTGAGGACTATGCTCAGGGTACAGTCCTTGCCCCAGCCTTGGATTTCCAGCCTAGAACTGAAGAATCATCTCCCAGTGTAAGGCTTCTGACTATACAACTTCAATACTGAAGTACTCAGATCTTGTGCATATTATGTTTAAAAGAGAGCTGCTTTTCAGTTTTTCCTTTTTCTTTTTCCCAAATGCAATGTACATGCCTTACATGCCTGATACAGTCTTAAATATTTTTCCCATTAGTATTGTTTTTTAGAATACTGTGTACAATGTCTGCTTCCTAAGTTTTCTGGGCAACAGCATACAATTATGCTTTTCTCTATCTCTCTCATTTATTTTCATATCAAATTGATTAAACTAGAGTATTGCAATAGCTGTGATATGACTGCAAATAAAAGCACAACTGTTTTGATTTACAAGCATGGCCAGTAGCTGGTTTGAATAAAAGCATTAGGAAAAATCAATTATCATTCCAAGCTTTCCCCCCACAGCCAGAGAAATAGCTGACACAGCACAACTGATGAGGCAGAAATCTTTAGTAATGGGAATAGGAAATGTGAGTAGGCAACAGGGAATTGAGGAAGGATGGTAACTTCTGAAAATGCAAAGGAGAAAAGTAAATTGATTTCACAACTGACTTTAATCCTATTTAAAATTATCCAGAATGAAAAAATATCTTAATTAGTGGTCATGGAGATACTGAACAGTTTAAAGACTGATTCCTTGTGGGCTCTAGGAAGTAGGCTTAGTCTATTTTGTGTGCTCCTTCCTTTACACTTTGTTCAAATATGGTGTAACCACTTCACATTACACTGATCTTGCCAGAAGGATTTAGCATTGCCTTTCGATTTTCCCTGCCCTTGAAAACATAAGAGTCCAAAATGCAAAAAGCATACACCTGTAGCAAGCCAACGTGAATCAAAGAACACTATGAACATTTGTTACTGTTATATGAATTTCTTTAAATGCTTGTGACTGACAAAATACAAAAACAAAAAAAACCCCAAAACCAAAAAACCCTTACCATTTCTACAGACATTGTAGCAATCCGTTTCAGTGACAAAGTTGTTGGCATTTCCACCACAGCCAGTATATCTGAACTCTTTACATAATTTAGTCTTGGAGTCATAGTAATAGCGAGGCACGGAAGAGGAACACAATCCTTCATCCATTGGGCTATAGCAGAGCAAGGGGCCAGCTTGGGAAAAAAAGACAAACGAAAAAAAAAAAAGAGACAGAGAAAAATAACATAAATGTTATCTCTGTACATGGCTTCTTAAAATTGATCCTAAAATAAATTTGATGTCTAAACAGCTCTTTTTCCACCTTGAATTGAAACTATTACTGATGACTTCAGAGACTTTCTACATCTTATTGCTGGGAGCTTTGTGTTTGAGAAAGCAACAGACCATCCTAGAAAACAGGATTAGATCCCATAAGTGAAATCATCAGCTTCCCCCATTTGTGGTGCTATACATACGACAGCAAAAAATTTTATGTAATCTTATTCCATATATATAAGAATATAGCAATAATTTCTGTGGAACAACCTCTATATAGGAAAAAAAAGGTACAACTTTGCTATAATTTTCCCAGTAAATTCTGCTTGAGGCAAGAAGTAAAAATACAACAATTTTCCTCAAGAGCAGGTTTCTTTTTGCCTCAACAATTTTTCTTTTTTGTAGCCCCTTTATCAACTCATTGTATGTGCAACAGAAATAATTCAGCTTTCACCTAAGAAAATGCTGATATTCTGTCATCAGCCACAAATAAATGTCATCAAGCACTAATAACACTTAGGACAGTGGCAACTTTTATACATTTTGGTAGATCTTTAAAGAGCCTATCTTGAACTAGATATTAACCTGATGGTCATGTCAAAACTTAGTTATAGTAACCTGCTCATAATTGCCACCAATTTTATTTACAGCTCAAATGGAGAGACAGTGAAGAATCACATCAGGCAAAACACTTCTGTTAGAAGCTGAGCTGTTGACTGCCAAAAACCTGAGCCACCTACCACCATCTCTCTAAAATTCTCATCTGAATTTTAGAAAGGTGCTTCTGCTTTACATTACCACTTCCCTGAATGTGACTGCCACAATCTCTAACACATCTTCCTCAACACAGAACTTCAACCTTATTATTTCTCTTCAAATACACCGCTACAGCTCTCTAGAAGTCAAGAAATTGATTTGGTATAGCTGCAGATCTATTTAAGATCTCAGCATTTTTGTTCTTTCAGTAACAGCTAAGAAAACTTATTAAAATTAAAGTGGACAATATAAACATCTGCTTTACACAAGTCTTCAAAAATACCACTGCATGGGTATTCAGAGGAAAATATCAAATGAAGTATCATCTTCATACTACTTTCAAACCATCTATTTTATTAAAAATTTGGAACAACCATTACTTTTTTCTGGCAGACAGTGGTCCACACAAGACTGCAAATCTCTGAAGTTGTTGCCATTTCCATAACAGCCACCATAGATGAATTCCTCACACCTCATCGAGCTCAAGTTAAAGGCATATCTTCTTAGATAACTCCTGCAAGGTCCTCCATCAGCCTCCATCCGGCATAATTTGGGCACTTCTGCAGAAAAAATAATTTCATTCTCTATAAAGCCAGCCCTTCATGCTTCACACATAGAACAACATGGTAGTACAGGCAAAACAGTATAACTTCAGTTGCAGGCAAGTCCCAGTTTGTTCCACCTGCTTTTTACTGGAGGAATCCAATGCATTAATTAGCGTTTAAGTGCTATATTAAATCACATTTAAAATACTAAGAGATAAATTCTACACATCACCTCTGGGTCAACTCACTCTGTATTTTCTGCCTAAAACTGACATCAGCAAGAAGCTGCAACAAACAGGAGGGTCACCAGTTCGACTCGATCTAAAGGTCTTTTCCAACCTACACAGCTCTATGATTCTAGGACTCTGTGGTATACCGGGTGGGTACAAAGCGTCCCGCAAAGCCGAGCAGCCTCCCCGGTGTGCCCCCTCCAGCCCCTCGCCACGCCGGGGCCCCCTGGGGCACCGCCGGCGCCTGGACTCACTCTTGATGGTCCAGCAGCTCTTCTCGCAGTCGTCGAAGGTGAGGAAGTTGTTGGCGTTGCCGTAGCAGCCCCCGTAGGTGAACTCCTGGCAGCTCTGCGTGTGCCGGTCGTAGTACCAGCGCGGCACCAGGGCGCGGCAGGGCCCCTCGTCGGAGGGCAGCAGGCAGGCGCGCTGCTTCTCTGCGGAGACAGCAGCCATGGGGCTGAGGCCACCGCGCCGGGGGGCGGCCCCGGCCCCGGGTCCCACCGAGGGCCTCTCCTACCTGTGAGGGGGCGCTGGGCCAGCGCGGCGCTCAGCAGCGGCAGCAGCAGCGCGGGCAGCGGCAGGCGGCGGCCGGGGGCCATGGCGGCGGGCGGCAGCGGGGTTCGGGGAACCAGCGGCGCTTCCCCTCCGACGGCAGCGCTTTATATGCACCGAGGCGGCTTCCCCGGGCCGCCTCCTTGCGCAGGTGGTGGGAGGGGAAGGGCTGATTCAGCGGGGCAGGAGGTCGCCGCTGACCCGGCCGTCAGTGGGGCGCGGAAGGCTGCGCGAAGCCGAGTCCGGGGCGCGGGCAGCCCCCGCCCCGCCGCGCCGCGGAGCAGCGGGGGCCGGGCGGGGGGCGCCGCCGGGGCTGCCTCCCCGCAGGGCTGCGCCGCCCATGGCCCAGGGGCCTCCGCCCCGGGGCTGCGGGGAGCTGGCTGGGGTCCACTCCCCGCCCTGCTCACGTTACGGGATGATGCTCAAAGAACGTTTCCTGCAAATCACGGAGAATCCGGGACAGGTCACTTAGCGAAAGCCTCCCTCTCTTCCTCCGTCATACTCGCCTTCCCCCGCTCCCCCGAGGCCGCTCCCTATTCGGAAGCTCCGGGTAGAGGACGGTGGAACGCCGAAAATCAAACGCTGATCCTGCTGCAGGTCCTGGTCCAGCCGGATGGAGTAGAGGCTGCTTAGCGAGTGCCGCCGAGACAGACGCGCGGCATTAGTTTACCTCCGTAGTGTAAAACGCCGATGAACTTGAGAAAACGCGGTATCGTCAGAGGGCTTGGACTCTGGAGAGGCCGAATGGATAACAACTCTGGCAGTGCAAAGAGGGGTGGATTTCAGGAAATATCATGACCTGGTATATTCTACAGATTGTAACCGCACCAGGCAATGAGGTGTGATCTGTGGGAGGAGGGGGTGAGCAGCAAACAGCACACTTTCCCTCTCTTAATTTAATAGACACATTGCATTAATTAGTGTTTACCCCAGATCGAATATAGTAAGAGAGATAAGAGTGGCTGTGTATTAGGCGTGTTCTCCATAGATAACGACAAACTAATCTGATCTCCTATTGTTCTTCTCTGCTCCCTTTACAGTGACATTGGGCCGGGCCGCAGTCCTGCAGGCAGGCACTGCTCTGGATGGGTTGCAATACAGGGCCCTGGAAATCTGTGGCCTGCAGGAAAGAAGACAAAGTCTATACAGGCTGTAAGCAGGAGGCACTTCAGAGCAGTCTGTTTACTTGAACTGACTTTCTCTCCATTGCTTCTGTGCTTTCCTTATGTTGTGGAGGACTACAACTAGTTTCCTGACATAGTTTTATTTTTCATAAAGGCAAGAAAGGAGCAAGTCTAATCCCTACTCCACCTACATGACTTCTGAAAGCATATGAATGGCACCTCTTTCCCTCCTTTTCCAGAACTGTTCCTTTTTTGACAATCTCCAGTAGCTAAAGGATAAGTGGGTGCTTTAGTGACAAGAAAGTAAACCCTGGTGCAGCTCGAGTCATCATGATAGGATGTATCTGCCATGCTTTAGATTCTTATAGCTACAACAGTTACTAATGGGTGTCCTCATTTTTAGGGATTTTGTTCAGCATATTAGGCAGAGCAGCTATATCAAATCTTATGTCCCTCCTGAAGAAAAGAATCAACAAACAAAACAACCACATACTTTTCCTATTTCCAAAAAAAAAAGCAAAAAGTCTTCTTTCTATATTGGGAAACTAAAGTAGTTTTAATATGATGTTCTTTAATATGTTGTCCTTTCGTTTTCATCACATTTTTTGGAATTGCAAAGAGAGAAATTTAAATACCACTTTAAACAATAGCAGCAAAGTGAATGCTGCAATGCAAGCACCATTTTCATTATTTTCCATTTCGTCTGTGCACAGACACATAGAAATCAAACTCTGATATGAAGCCACCTATCCATCAATGCTGCTATTCAGCTTCTCCTTTGCTTTAATTTAGATCAGGTAAATATCTGTAAAAATACATGAACCACAGTAAATTTAACACAGCAAGTGGTAGAAAGTCCATTACTGACTGCCATCTGCAGAGCTAGTCATGTCAGCATACAGGTCAGTGAAAGCTTTCCATTACAGAGCTCTGGGTACCAAATTCTTCCTACGCCAACCATGTCAGTGGTGTGCCAAGCCGACCTTCAGCTCACTCCTGCACCCCACACGTGCCTCCACCACATCCCATGCTCTCTGCCTCTCCACACCACAATGTTTCTGCTCTCACCAACAGCCCAGGCTGTTCTGAGACGCTGGCCAGCCAGCTCCTTCCACCTGTTTAAACTGGCCCACGACCAGCAGCTGGTGGGGTTTGGGAATGCAGCTGTCAGTGTAGGTTTATGGGGGTGTGGAAAGTGCATACCACCAGCTGGGGAGGGGAAGATAGTAGCCATAGGGAGAGGAAGAGAAACTGGTTTTAGTGAACTGGCTAAAGTTAAACGACTACAAACCCCAAGGGCACTATAAGAGCAGTGCTGGAGAAGACGTAAATCTTACATGCTGCTGACAGCTGCTTACATCTGGTGAGTAGGAAGAGGAGGAGAAAGGAGAAATATTTAATAGGAAAAAACAGAGAAGGAAAGAGGGAGGGCTAACTGCCTATGATGATCTTTGAAGTGGCAGATAACAGAAGGACTGCAAGCCCATTTGAATGGCCTGTAGCTATGTTCAATCTCAGGGGTCCTGAACTGTGCTTCCATTGCTATTGTAGGAAAGCAGCTGCTAGGATGAGAGATGCTAGGTGCTGTACAAACATGCATGGAAGGACCACTCGGTTTCTAAAAGCATAGAAACCTATTTGGGATCTAGACCTCAAAACTGTATGTAACCACAGGAGAAGAATTTCCTAACTCCTTCTTGCATCTTCTGAATGAATCCCTTCCCTTATGTTCAGTACTCCACCTCAACACCTGTCATAACTCCATGTGTTCAGAGACCCTTGTGCAAGCCAGGCACAAAAAGCCCCTTAAGCAGTGTTGCAATTCTGCTTTGCAGACATAGCTATCAAAAAGTTGTGCTGTCTGGCATTGATGGGCTGGCCACCTGTTGAGGCACTTTATGTGGGAGCGGTTTCTTTCAATCTCTACCTTAGTCCAGTTCATCTGTAGTTGTAATGCACAAGTATTGAGGAATGCAGCCATGCACACCACCTGCTTCTGCCTTAGCAGCTGGGCTGAAGAACACAGAGCCCAAGGATGCTGGTGGCACAGAGAATGAGTCATTTCTATGGCCACGAGGTGCATGAGGAGAAAGTGGTGGGGGGAAAGTTCTCACTGCTGGGCCAAAAGCCCCAGCCGACCTCGCTGCTCTTGCCCCGCACTGGAGTTGTAGAGAATGAGGCCAGGGAGGTCAGCACAGGACGGTCTTCCAGCTCCCCGCTCCTGCTGAGACGGCCAGACCTGCCTGTGCTGGCAGGGCCGGTGTCAACGCCCCGGCAGCGGGGCCGGGCCGGGCTCTAATCCGGTTAGGGGGGATTAGCGCGCAGGTTTAAAGGCCGGAGCGGCGCGGGGAAGGGGTGCAGGAGCGCTGGGGAGGAAGCGGCCGCCGCCGAGCAGCGGGGCACCTCGGGCGGCAGCGTGCGAGTGAGCCCGGGGGCGGGCCGGGGGCGGCCGTCCCACAGCCCCGCCACCGCCCGGGGGCTCCGGCCCCGGCGGCCTCGCTGCCCAGGCGTCACCTTTTGTCCCCACTCCCTGCGCGCTTCGGTAGTGTAGACGATGCCAGCCATCAACATCGAGGACCTGAGCGAGAAGGACAAGCTGAAAATGGAAGTGGAGCAGCTCCGGAAAGAAGTGAAGCTGGAAAGGCAGCCGGTGAGCGGGCGCGGAGAAGGGGCCCGGAGCTGCCTGGCGGGCGGCGGGGCCGGGTGCGGAGCGGGGAGCGAGCCCGTTCCTCCCCGGGCGGCGGGGCTGTGCTCGTCCGTAGAGCCCCGGCTGCTTTGGGACGGCCGCGGCTTGCACCGACGGTCCTGCCGCCGCTTTGGGTCAGGGGCCGGGGACGGCGCTGTTGGCACAGCACCGCTGACACCCGGTCCTTCCCGGGCTGGCTGTGGAGCCCGGGGGAAGGAGCGCACCATCCCTGGGATAAGGCACCCCGAGGGTTTGGCACGGCCCTGCTCTCCGCGGCTGTTCCCCGTGGGTTTGGCACCCCCTAACTTCCCCTCCCCGTGAGTCCCTGGCGCCCAAGGCCGGCACCAGACTGCCTTGCCGGGCAAGGGCGGAACACATCACGCTCTGTTCCCCTCTTCTGTATGCAGAACTCACTGGGACGTGCTGGTGCTAGGGGAGGGGTGGGCCTCCCTTGGGAAGCCAGGGGAGCCCTGTCGCGGCATTGCACCCTACCCTGGCCCGCAGCCGGGTCTCCGCCGCCCCCGCCCCGCTTCCCGTGCTGTGCCGTGCCCGGGCGGGAGGGCAGGAGCCAAAGCACCGCCCATGCCGAGCCGTGACCCACCCAGCCTTGTTCCATAGACATTTGGACATTTACACTGATATTCCTTCCAACGAGTACTTTTCCATTAAAGGTTTACGGTTTTGTACATTTTCTATAGACGAAAGATGTGCAGAACTGATCTTGCTCCACGACGAAACTAGTATTTTGTTTTTTAATTCTGCACACCAGCGGAGGCAGATTACATGTAAATAAACCCTTCATGTTAGAACCAATAATACATTTGTATGTGGAAATCGGTAACATTAGTCATGTTGATTACACTGAAGGTCTAGGTTTTAGCCCCGAAAATAAGAAAGCCGGAGTTATGTTTTAGCTGTGAGTTAGGAATCAGTGATTGTAGATGTTACAGTATAGTCTAAAGCTCCAGCAGTATTGAGGGCTCAACATCCAACTAGTGTTGATATCTGTATCATCTCTCAGAGATGATTCTTAGACAACTGAAATACACTCTGCAGGATATAAAGTTTAGGAAATAATAATAATTTAAAATACTTGTCTACACTTTCTGAATAAACGAAAACCCTGATCACTTTAGGAAAATGGCTATGTTTCAATTTTCCTGTAGTGAAACATACTTAATTTTACCAGTGCATTGTAACAGAAGTTTCCCTGGGAGAATGAAATTGGTATTGTAGTTGCCACAGTCCCCTGGTACCTGTATGGGTGTTACAGGGATTGGGAAACGCAGAAACCACATTACTGTTGGTACCAAAATAAAAACATGAGCCAAAATTTTCTTGACACCCCCGCCCCCCAACAACTTTATGAAATAAAAAGGAAGTTGCCTTTGGAATGAAAAAAAAATTCTAAATGTGTATTTAAGCAGGTTTTTTTTCTTATAAGTGAAAGTGATCCTGGCAGTGCTGACTGAAGTAAAAGAAACCCTGGTCCTTCATATACCTTGGCATGCAACTTTACTATGGTGTTGGGTGCTCTAATTTGAATGAACAAAGTTCTCAAGACGCAGAAGAACAAGACACATGTAATGGGATTTGTACATCCAGCTTCTTCTTTGCTCTAAGGCAGCTCGATCTTATTTTATGCACTGTTTAATTGGGAATTAACTCTGTTCTTTCTGATGGTTTAAAGCTTAATTTTGCACAGGCCATACTCTGTTGTTTGTGATACAGCAAGTGAATTCATTGGTTCTCTTGTTGTAGTTTTACCTTTGAAACAAAATATAATTAATAGAAGAGGCAAGGGGCCTTAAATTAGAAACAATAATAATCTAGTGGCCTGGCCAACAGCTGATTCCTGCTGCTGACTCTGCATAGCTGTACCACTGCAGGGCCTGCGGGTAGGAAGGGAGGAGGTGGGGACAGAGCAGGAGTGTGTCCTCAGGCATGTCAGGTATTTGGGCATCTAGGGACAGTTTCTGCTGACATAGGGAGCAAGAGATGTGTGTGCACAAGGAACCTCAGGAGCCCCAGACGTTCACTTGTGCATTCTCAGACTCCACAGACACCACTACCACATGTGCTGCATGTGCTTCTGTGTCAGTGAACAGAAACTAAACATGCTTCTTCTTCATCGGTGGGTTCTGTGCAAGCTTATCTGCATCGGTGCTAGTTTGGTATGAATGCTATTGAAAGTGTTATATTCTCAAAACACAATAGGCTCTTTTATTAACCATTGCTTGAAATAACCCCAGGTAGCCAATAAATAAATTGTCTTTCCTAGTTAGATTCTCATTCAAGGTGCATCATTGCAATAGCAGAACTGCGAAGTAAGAATTGGTATTACTACTGAAAAATCATTGCTGAGTGTTTTGTTTGTGAAAAACACATAAAGCCATAAATACTTTGAAACTGAACTGAAGGTTACCGACCCAGAACTTGTTGACCATAAGTCATGCTGGTGCTGAGGGAGAGTGTGATCCACAGCTTAATAAAACTAGATTGGCTAATTATGAACACAAGTTTAACTATGCAGCGACGGCTGTCAGGAGTGGCGTTTACATTCTCAGAGATACTCACATCTTCTGTCAATATCAAGCTGTGAAAAGAGAGGAAGGAAGCACAGTATGCACGTGCTTAGTGCTCTGTGGCCAGATATTTTATGCTTGGTGGGAAGGGAATGCGGGAGAATGTAAATTCACGGGTTTCCTCCTCTGATGAACATTTCCCACGACCGTAACGCAGCCACTTTTGTGTCCTTTCCCTCGAGGTGTCCAAGTGCTCCGAAGAGATCAAGAACTACATCGAGGAGCGGTCGGGAGAGGACCCGCTGGTGAAGGGGGTTCCCGAGGACAAGAACCCCTTCAAGGAGAAGGGAGGCTGTGTCATCGCTTAGAGAAGGAACCCCGCGCCTGCCCCTGGAGCAGACATTCCTCCCGTAACCTAGGGAGTAACTAGCGTGTCCCCACCGCCGCCGGTCCGCGTCGAACGAGCACTGGAGCGGATTTCTTTTTATTTTCTATTTGTCCTTAGAAAAGTACAGAAACCCACGCGAAAGCTGCCGAGCCCCGCGCCGGCCGCCGGGCAGGGCCGGCTGTGCCCCGCTCCCCGCCGCGGCCGGCCCTGTCGCTGCGCGGGGCCCGCTCGCCGCCCGCTTGTCGGTCTCTTCCTGGCTGTTCGTTGGCATTAAAGAAACCTGCCCGTAACCCGAGAGCTGCCGTGCCTTGCTGCCGGGGCGAGAGAGCGGGAGGAGGGGCGGGGCGGGCGGGGGCTGCCCGGTCCGTGCCCGGCCGCTTGGCCCGGCGGTGGGGCCGGCGGCGGCCATGGCGCTGCGGGCCGGCGGGCGCTGGGCCCGTCCGGGCTCGGCGCTGCGCGGGCGCTGCTCGGGGCCGCGGCGCGCCGGGGACGCCCCGCGGCACCGCCACCTGCGGGAGGCCCTCCGCAAGGTACTCGGGGGGGACCGGGCAGCGGCGGGACCGCGGGACACCGGCCGCGCCGCCCCGTGCGGGGAGCGGACCAGGGCAAGGGCAGCGAGCCCACGGGACGGCTCGGGGTGCGCTTAGATAAGTAAACTTCCCTCCGGCAAGGCCAGAAACGGAACCGTGTGTTCCCTCCTGCGTGTGACCCGCCGGGGGGCACAGCCTGCCCGGTGTGCGCTGCCCTGGGCTCGGTCCTGCGGAGCAGAGCCCGCCGGGCACCGTCCCCGTTCTAGAGGCGCGCACAGTGGGAGCCTCCTGAAAAACTACATCATAAATAAAGCGAAAACGGGGAGCTTCTGGTAACGTAGTGTGTAAATTGAATGCCAAATGCTAGTAATGGTAGTGCTGGCGAACTTTGTGTATTCCCGTCAGTGAGGGCAGTGACATCTGCAGATCTCCGTGACACTGTTCAGGGCGCCTGCCAAAGCCAAAGGATCAGCAGGTTCGGCTGGAGGGAGCCCTGGTGCGGTGCCCGCTGCGAGGCCGAGCACCGGTGTGAAAGAGACATCCACCTTTAACCTATGAACCGCTGAGAAAAGTGCTGGAGTGCGGTACCTGCTGCAAGGGCCAAACACCATTGTTGTGGCCACCACATAAAAACAAACATACAATGGGTTCAGGAGAAGGGAATGTAAGGACTTATCTCAGATTGTAGGCAAGTTTCCAAATTCTAGCTGGTCGTGCACTGCTCTGCTGTGTTTTTTTAAAAACAGTATGCTCTGGATTGCCAGATACTTTCATATGAGTATGGAGCTATGCTGTCCTATGGGTGCTTTTAAAAATTACTTGCAGAATCTTGTATTTCCCTGAATAAACTTAATTATTTCCAAATTTCACCCCTCCTTCAGTCCACTGTGGACAAAAGGTAGAGGAATCACTTCTGAATTAAATTATGTTTATCTTAGGTTTGATTATTTTAAACTTTCACACTTCCAGTGTTAATATATCCCAAACCCAGTGTAATTAATCAGATTTTCTATCACTGAGATCTGTTATCACTGAGCTTTGAGAGAAAGAGATGTATCTTCTATGTTATAAAAAAGAAACCCAAGCAAGAAGGAAAAGAGAGACATGACCTGACACTTTCTTAGTAAATTAGTTTCATTACTCTACATTCCTGGACTCTTTGCAAAGCAGAAATAAAATGATACAGAAAGAACCAGAAGCTGGAAATTAATCCTCCTCCTTCACTTAGATTAATAGTGTAGAATTTTGTAGCTAATACCATTGTGTCAAATTTATGCTGAATCTGACTGGAGAGAGCCTTCATATATCTGTGTATCTGCAGAGCTATCTGTCCAATGAACCTGTTCCCTGGCACGCTGCTCTTCATTACATGCCCAGGAGCAACAACTGCATTCATAAAAAATTAGTGTCCTGAAATGCAGAGGATAATGCCAGACCTTGTGAAGGATGTGATCTCCCACTATCCATGACAAAGAAGCGGGTGATTTCAAGTCCTGCTTCTCTGTCATGGATAGGTTAAAGCGCACATTGTTTTGTATCTCAAGTATTTGCAGCTGTGTATTTATTGAGGACAGGGGAAATAGCTATATTAGTGTCTGCTAGTGCAGTGTTTGCTGCTCTGCTGTGTGACACAATGCTTTTTTAAATAAAACTTTCCCCTCCCTTGTTTTTTATTCCTGCCATGCCTACTGAAGTGCAGATAACAGTATGTTCTACCTTGCTGTGTTCAATGCAGATAATTACATCATGGGCTAAGAGGGAAGGTGATGCTACATTTATCACATAAAGCCCTATGATAATATATTGTAAAATAAATCACAGTAGGCAATATAAACCTGCTTTTTTCATTGCCCTCCATTTAAGAAAATGCTCATATAGCATTTATTTTAGATTTGCTCTGATCATATTGGAAGAAAAGAAAAATCACTATTTATGTCAAATCCAGTCTGATGCTGTTCACACAAAGCTCCTAGCAATCAGTGTTTGTTTTGTCTTAAGTTAAGCCTTTCCCCAGTAACTTTAGGATAAATTGAAAAGTGTCCCCAAAGTCTTTGGGAGAGAATGACCATTCAGTATCTGCAGCACATTTTAAGTATACCTGTATACATTTTAAGTATTCTGGAGCACCCTTTCTAGTAGCTAAATCCAGATGCAATACCAGAGAAATCAGAGAAATGAGCAGTGCAATTCCATGAGTGAGAACTAGGGTTTTTGTTTGTTTGCATTAATTTTATTTTTTAAGTTTATTAACATGCTTTAAATGATCTATAATGTCCCAATTGTTCTGAGCAGGATGAGGAAGAGACTCTTAATTCCAGGGGCTGTTTTTAGCAAGGGTATTGAAATAATTCTGTGAGTGGTTTCCTTTACAACTTTATAGGTCACCACCCTTCCTCTTGGAAATGGAAAACGTAACTTTTCCTTAACTTGTTGAACAATGCTTGCACTACACTGATATACTACTACAGTTTGCTTCAGTAATTAGTATAACTGGTTTGAGAAAAAGGTTTGACTTATTCCATGTATGTATGTCTAACAATATTAATATACATATAGAATGTATACGGGCTGCCTATTTGTCTTTTTCTCTGGCATTAGTAGTCAGAAACTTTGGGAAATGGTGAAATATGACATGTATTTTGCTAGAGTTGCATGTAATAAAAATAACATTTCATTTTATGCCCAGTGGTGACTGGGTATAGTTACACTGTGTTGTGTGTCTGTAGGATGAGAATTTCCCCTGTGACAACGAGACTCCACTAAAGAACGCTACTATATTGTTTGCCACTTTTGGCTTATATGTCATGAGTTTCTGTTTATTAATATAAATCTATATATTTTTGCAGCAGTTAATATAGCTTCATATTAGAACATGTAGGATCTGAATTTCATATTGACATTTCCTTTAACTTTCTGGTAAATTTTATGTAAATTTTCCATCAAAATAATATGGCTCTTTCTGACTACCATCAAAATAATGAAAGGTGACCACTATTAACATTGGAGCACCTTGGATGGAGTTGGTTTATTTATTGTTGTAAGAAAACATAAACTCCTGCCACAGGATGGTGAAGTAATAACTTGTTGGTATTAGAAAGAATCACTTAAATGCCTATTTCTCACTAAGTTGCAAGAGAGAAAACATACAGCTGAATCTGAACAATGCATGACTGGCATATGTAATTTTAAAACCTAATTTATTGTACACCCGAGTTACAAGCTTCAGGAAGAAAACAGATGCGACACTGGTGAGGCTCACAGATTCTGCACTGACTGCCCATCTGTCTAAGGGAAGCAAAATGTATTCCCAGATTCTGAGGTATTGCAGTAGTCTTTTTCACCTTGTGTCTGACAGAAACATCACACACACATTTAGGGGCTAATTCTATTGCTGGTACCAAGTATTTTTGGTAGCAATTTATCATAGAGGAAATTTTCATGATTAAATTTTGTTGTTATTAGAAGAGGCAGCTGGGATACACTGCTGTAATATGGGAGACCATCAAGTACACCTACTAGTGCCCTAACAAGAAGTGCTTTTAAATCAGCGTAGGAGAATAGGACAGAAAAAAAAAAAAAAAAAAAAAAAAAAAAAAAAAAAAAAAAAGAGGTTCAGTTTATTTAAGCAAGCTCTGTAAAAAGCTTTTTCTCATAATTGGAAAAATGTCACTTTCTGTACAAATGCTTCAGTGTGTAGCAAAAGTGCAATTAAGGCAATTTTGTAATCAGCGGTCCTCTTTGTTACTTGATGTCAGAGTAGAGCTGACATTGAGATTGAGTTGTTGTGTCCTAACACTAGATTTTTTTTTTCCTGCCTCATATCAATGTTAGAACAAATTTCCACTGTGTCTAGTTAGACTTCTCAGTGAACATTTTTTTAGTAGAACTATGCCTAGTGGATATTTTTGTCTCTTAGATTTAGCTATTATATTTCTTTATCATTGCCACATTTGCTTAGGCAATACAGTTATGCATTTGTGACAACTAAAATTGTGTCTTAATAAGCATTTTATGACTGAGCAAAAAACTGGTGTTGATACAGGTTTTGTCTGACAGTTCAGATGTGATAGTGTGGGCTGCAGTGAGAGAACTTGTTTTGTTTCTCCAGGGATGTAACCCAGAGTCAGAAGGAGGACCCAACCCCCAACATGCCAGCCTCTGGTGGACATTATGCTCTATCTCATCAGCATCTCTGTGTTGAAAGTATGATTTGCAGGAGTAGGAAAAGATGATCACTTGCTCAGTCCTTTATCCCTTTCATAACTCAATACAAGTAGCCTGGATACTATTCCAGTGGCCAGAGCTCCCTGTCATCCAACAGGCTTGTCCCAGATCAGTGCCTAGATTGGCACACTACACATTTTTGGTCTTGTAGGACTACCCTGTTTAAAAGCATCTGCCCTCAGATCCTAGGAAGAGCTGTGCCCTCAGCACTCGCTTTTTCACAAATTTTGGGATCCTCCCTTTTCTGCCATACTCTTGGGTAAGGCAGTTGAAGTGGTTGTATTTGTGAGTGTGCAGGGACTGCCAAGACACTCAGGTCTGCACAGGAGCGATTATTCTTTGCAACTATCTTTGGAAAAATGACATAAGGAGGGAGAATGTGTAGGCTGGGATCATGTGTGTTCCTTCCCAGCTGGAGCTGCCTTCTAGCCTCTCTTTCCTCAGGAAATGGTTGAGCAGGGCTCCAGAGTGGTGAAGCTTTCATTTTCATAGTCTGGTGATGATGTGTGCCCTCTCTGCTTCAGCAATGAGGCTCCCAGATGTGCCAGCAGCTGCCTAGGGTGGAGGGCAGAACGTGCTTCTGCACTCCCTGGTGAACTTGTAGCATTTTAAAATTTCAGTAAGTGTTGGCAAAAACTTTGTAATTGATTCAGAGTTTGGATTTTTTTGGTTTCCTGAAGTAAAAATTTTAGCCAAATGTATGGGACCAAAAGATAATCGCTATTCAAATTTCTGAGTAATCACCCTTGCTTTATCCATTTAGGTTTGGTGCAAGG